CGAGAGCGAGAGCGGGCGACAGAGAGGTGGGGAGCGAGAACGGGAGTTTCAACCTCGAGCTTTTCGAGATTCCATATGCTTATTCTAGAACAGTCTTGGTTCGCTTTATCGTAAGGGGGATACTATTACGAACTCCTGCAATAATAAAATAAAGAAGTCTGTGTATTTTTCTCGTGCAATAAAATTTTATTTTGATAAATACGTTTTCAATCTAGTGCAGCTTTATTTAATAATTTAAATTTTAAATACGAAACCGTTATTCTCGGTATAAACCCAACATTTTATTTGGATGCGCTTAACAGAAAATTTATATCGCCGATTATAAAGTATGACATTTTTGAACAAATATATACCAGGAAAGATATCTTTATTATCAGCATATGCAGCATTTCGTTCAATTAATGCTTGTTGTTTACTGTTAATAAGTATGCTAAACACAAATATATTTTTTCCTTGCTAATATCTTGATATTTATCAAGTTTATTAAGACGGTGGGAGGGGGGGGGTAAAAAAATAAAAATATTGGCTGATAAATAAAAGTCGGGGTTTTGTATAAAAGCAAAGTGAACATGTTATTTCAGTTAACCTTTAACAGCGAGTTCTTTGCGTGTTCACGCTACATTAAGTGCATATACTTTTAACAAAACTTTCAAATTAGCGCAACGACTCCTATATCACTGCCATAATGACGCCCGTGACAATTCACCATTTCCCCCCTCTCGTACTTTTTTTCGCGTTCCGGGATAATCATTTAATAAATAAACGGTGGTGCACCACCAAGCATAGCCTGACATTCACATACGCGCACGCGGTTCCCAGAAGTGGCACTGAAATCTGATCTTGGATCTGATTTGCCATGGCGGTAGGCGGCGACTCTATTGTTTTCATGGATGGGCAAACGCGGAAACGCCATAAATTATTGCCTCCGTTGCTCATAACGGAGTGGCCGGATTTAAGGGCGACGTGCGAATAAATCACGGTCATCGTCCCCTTTTTTTACGGCGAAAGTCAGCTGTTGCCGTGTTACTTCGCGATGATGAAGTTCTTATTGCCCTCGATGTTTTTCCATTTTTCGAAAGATCCCGGTATGCCGATCGTCAAAGGAGACGATCGAACGAACGTACGGTGATTTTTTGGGTTCGGTTGAAAAAGCGAGTGAGAGAGGAAACGGGATTTGTTTAATTCAGATTTAGTAGGGCTTCTTCTCGAGACTGAATTTTGAGAAATAATGGCCTCGGTGTGCATTATTGCCACAAAGTACCCGCTGTGAAATGCATTACAATTTTTGGCTCATTTAAGTACTCGTTGCGTCATTTATCTACAGCATTAATTTTTCCTTTCATATACCAAACATTCAATATTTTTCGCGGTATTTAAAAATCTACTCTGGTATCTGAAAATTACGAAGGCAGCAGTACATTGGATTACTTTACACATCCGAAGCGTGCATTTTCTCAATTACACAGTCACCATTTTATATTGCGGCAGGCGTTAATGTAGTTCCGAGCGTCAAGTTAGCAACACTGTAGTGTCAACAAGAACGATGTTGCCTTTTTGCGTGCACTGCGATCCCACCATCGTTGCAAGTTGGCTCGACTATTGCGGCAAACTCTAAGTCTACCAGTGATGCAGAAATGAATCTTTAATGATTCGCGCTCGGTACAAGACTTATCGTGTACTTATTTCCATTTAAAAACCACACTTTCGATAAACATATTGAAAAGAAGAAATACTAATCGTGAACGGCTGGCGATCGTTTCACGAATTTTATTGTCTCGATGCACGCTTAGTAGGCACGTGCGAAAATTGCATTATAGCCTCTTATACAAATGTAGTCAGAAATAATTGTAACTATCAGAGTTCCAATTATTGTACCAAGTTCAACTTTGAGTTTTTTTTTTTTTACGCTACGCTTTATTTAATATTTAATGGCGACAATTTGAGACCCCCTTATTTTATCTCGCTAAATAATAAAAGCCTAGATAATTAGTTTCTTGTTTTTCATTTCCATTTATTTAATTCGCTTTACTTTAAGTAGATTATATATTATAAAGATAATGTTGGCAGAAAATGGCGCTGCAAATATCGTATCGGTCATATTGCTTTGTATTGCAGCATTGTCAAATGTAAAATGTTACTTTTAAAGAGAATTACAGATAAAGTCAAATAGCAGCACTAAAAATAACTTGAAGTTGAAATTGAAAACGGAATGCGCCTATACGATAATTCTAATACAATTGTTTTTGGCAGCTAGTTTTTTTTTGTTTGTTTTTTTTTTCCTTAGTTTTTTAATTTTTTTAAACGAATGGAAATAGGGAACGATAGAATGATTTTACACATTGTATTGGAATACATTCGACCAATCAACGTCCGTTACCAATATATTTAAAATTATTTGTTAATGCTGATTGAACGTCTCGTAATCTTAATTTTCATCTAAAAAAATTGAACTTGTTCATTAATATTTTTATTAACGTAGCATGAGTCATCGGTGACACTTAAATTTTTTTATGCTTGTGTTTCGAATTATTCTTGAAAAAAAAAAAAAAAAAAATAATACTTTTAATTATTACCTAGTGAATTTAAATACTTGCACGGATAAATGATTGATATTCTTCACGTTTCGAATCAATTAATTTCTTTTGTACATTCGCCACTTATGAATATAAAAGATTTACTAAAATAATTCACGGGAGCTTCTACTATAAAACAATGTATTGAATATTTAAATGTTTATTTAACATTATATCTAATAATAAACATAGATCTAATAATTATATTGGTTTGATCATTTCCATTCTTCATAAATTAATTATTTTTAACAATTTATTGTTTACTATAAATTAAATCAATTAATTTCATTAGACTAAATATTCTCAACGATTACATCTTATTTATTACACTCTATAACCTGTAATGTACATGTAATTTGTAGTGTAATTATAATATTGTAGCAAGCTATAATGAAGATTAATTGTTGAATATAATATAAAGAGCGAACATCTAATGTAATAGTGAATTTATAAAAGATACGTGTTTACAATGTTTCTATTTATATTACAATCCCTATATACAATTACTTTTCATAATTAAGAACTCTTTTACATACAAAAACACTATTATGAAAAACTGAAATGAAAAAACGTCATCAGTTTAATTAAAAGGCATTGTTAGATAAGCTTAACTCTCACAACCTTATAGTGATTCTCCATTTTTGAATTGGGTACCGAAGTGGAGAGAATACTTATCACTTTGAGATCCTGATGTTGGGTATTGTTTGTGCTTACGAGTCTTGTATGGATGTTTCTTTATAAGAAAAAAGCAAAAAAAAGCAAAAAAAAAGGCAAAAAAAAAAAAAAAAGAAAATGTAATTTCCTTAGCTATCCCTTTTTAGAAACTTTTCCGTTCCCAGGTATTCTAATCCTTTCAAAATTTCCCTCCGTGACACGAACAAAACTACGTAACTATAGAAAGGCCAATTTTACGATTATGGTCTCGCTGAGGGAACGAGCATCTGTTCGTCAACGCAGTCTGTCTTTGTTATCGCTCGATACCAGTCCCAAGTAATAAATCGATTTAAATTTCGGCTCGACATTCATGCGAGATATTCTATGGCACGTGAGGTAATTAATAGCCGGGTGCTTCTTTAAAATGGCGACGTTTTCCAGCTCTTTGTCTTTGGGCGAGTCATGTAGGATAGAATGAGCACAGTCGCGTTTCTCTTTCCCATCAATAGAGAAATCAACAGCTAACAGAACGATGTCTGCTTACAATTTCCAATGCCATTGGCTTGTTACGAGTCATTTGGATAAAATTTCAGGCAATAATCACGGTGGAATAGAGCTTCCTAGGACTCTGCAACTTGTTGCGAGCCAACAACATCCCATTGTTTTTTCATTCTCCAAGAGAAACAATAATTTTCTATACTTAATAAAGCTTGTTGCTGAAAAAGTTTTTTTATTTTTCAATTTATGATGTATTTAATTGCTAGAAGTATTATGATATCACATAAAAATTTTAGGCAATGCTTTGCTATTTTACATCTACTGGAATACTTATTATAAACCTTATTAAGGTAGATTAACAATTGAAGCAAAGATTGCTTTCAATTTCCTCATTATCTCATTTAGAATACATGGCAAGAGTTTTAAATGAAACGTCTCTTATCATCAATATGATTTTCGTTCAGGTATACTGTTCTTTCATTGTAAATTTACTTGTGGATTGAAAATTGGCTTATTATTATTGTCACGTCTTTGAACGAAGAGACCAGTTGAATAAAAAGAGACGGAGACAGAATTACGGCGATAGGAACATGACACAATAATCAATCTGGATATGTGTAGCGTCTCATTTTTGATGCTCATATTTGACTTATTGTACTTGTAAAAAGTCGTAAAGGAGAAGAAGAAAAAAATCGAGAATAAGAAAAATAATACGAACAATAGCATTGTTAAAACCAATAAGTGTCTATGAATCGAGGTCGCCTGTCATTTGGTGTGTTTTGCTTACGCGCTGACGCATGACGCAACTTTTATTTTCAGACCTTTGATTCCAAGGTTTGCTCTTCGCGGAGCTTTGCTAGATGATTACACGCGGTCGCGCGCAATCTCAATTCCTTTTACGACTGCCGGCCCAGTGATCATTTTGTCACTCCCTTTAATTCACATTTAATGTCGAATTAATGGCTCCTGTCGGATTGACAACGAAAGAAAGAAAAGGCGCATCAATAATTATTCTAATTACGCGCTTACATACATAAACACGGGTTTGTGTGTGCATTGTGGGAGATGGACGAGTGTCGAGGAAGCGATCCGGGGCCTCGTTAATGATGTGAACGGGCCGACTGTAGTCGATCCGTTGACGAAGGGTTGATGTTGGGTTGTGACTGGCCTTACCTACCAATCTCTTCACGCGCGCATCAGTAAAAGACAAAGCGAAAGAAAAAAAAAAATCAAATTCTTCTACTTTTGTTCAGCTTTTCCGTGGCTCAAAATGTCTTTTTTTTTTTTTTTTGCTTTTTTCACCATTTTTATAATATTTGGACCATTAGTTATACGTTCGTCGCACTATCAATCGTCGAGATAAAGATAGATGAGAGCTAAAAATTGATATGATTAACAATGAGGGGCATATCAGCATTCAAAAATATCACAATATTCAAGATATACATACGGATGGTCACAATGAGAAGTGCTTTGTACATAATGTGAGCTTTAGAATAACAAATATATTTCGCGTGCCCTTATTTTCACTGGCGTACTAGCGATTGACAAATTGTATTATACTTGCAGCCACTAATTCCAAGCGGCGTCTTCTTGAAAATAGAAAGAGGTAGAGGACTCGTGGTATATGTCCCGGAGTATAGAAAACGCAAAGTCGAGCGCACGACCGCAGCGTGTAAATGACGAGCGGAGGGCCGAGGCTTGGGATGCTTATTAATTTTAATTAAGTTGGTTATTACTTGAGTAAGCAATTATTTCGTATTGTCGTTATTTTTTTGCCTTTCGTAATTCATAGGATACATAGTTCGTGCACACAATTGTTGAAATGCTGCCGCTCTTGCGGGAATGCTTCCCTCGCACTCGTATCTGTCAGCGATACCGAGGTGAATTGTAGTTTCATTTGTCGCTCGCCCGAGCATTGATAATCTTGAAAATATTGTTGCGATAATAGGCTCATAGTTTTACTCCAAAGCTTGTAAGTTATATGAGAATGTTTTGCCGTTATTTTGCGGTGGCGTCGAAAGAAATTACTAATCTGCCCGTAAATCACAAATGCGATAGCTTTAGGCGCAATAAGATTTAATAGAAATGCGACCGGTTAGGAAAAAATGTCGAGGCCCATGGGAGTAATTGCCAATTTTCAGGAGCGACAGTTTGAGACGCTCGTTCGCAAAATTACACTCCGCTTCTTTAATTCGGCATCGCTCCTCTAGCGTTTTGCCCTTCGCGTCTCCGTCTACACACCTTTCGTTCTCCGCTACTAGGCGTTGCTTTGGCACGCGGGCGTCGGCCGTGTATCTCGGGGGCTTGATGAGATTAAAAACGCAAGCCGCCATTAAAATTGATGTGGCTACTTATCCGATCAGCTCTCGGGGCCTGCACGCCAGCTTTATTGCAGCGTTACAATTCCCGGCCATCCTCGTTCGCCGCCACCGCCGCCGCCGCTGCCACTCCTTCGTTCCGGGGCCGAACTTTTGTTTCTCGAGTTTTTAACACCGGCGTTTCGAACATAGTGGTTGCCCGGTAGCTCTCGCTTCCTTATTATCCGTCAAAATCTCGTATTTGCTAGATTCGAAGAAAAACAATAACAATGGTGCAGCGTTTTTTTTAAATATCGCTTTGTCTTCGCTCGAAGCTTTGAAATTACTGGTCATGTTATTAACGCAGCGATCCATTTGTTCTAGAGTCTTCTATTAGTCGGGCCCAAAAATGATTGCTTGTACGAGGAGTTGGACGTATATTTATTGATCTAATGTATTAGTGAGGCTCGATAGAAAGAGGCATATATATATATATATATATATCTTGCTAACCGACAAATTATGAAATCTGTATACTAGGCCATAGGGACAAAGAGATTTTTCGTCGAATCATTTAATTATCGTCTATGAACTTGTTATTATTATTATTGTTATTATTATCATTATCATTATCATTATTATTATTATTATTATCATTATCATTATTATTGTTATTATTATTATTATATATATATATATATATATATTTATCTATATATGTATATATTTTTTGAATTATGAAAAAAATGAATAAATATTTTATTTTCTGAAAAATTACTTGTAACTTGTTTTTCGGGATTTTAAAATCGGGCAGGCGGCCAAATCTTCTTGCCAAATGTGTGTACAGCGGAAAAATCGTACAAATCGTCAGTTCATAAATTTTTCTTTACTTCAAGTTTCTTACATGGATTGCATGGAAAGTGCTAACATTAGATGCATTTTTCGAAATTTCGATACGAAACATCAACGACACCGAGCGTCAACATCGTGCGATGCGTTTGTGACGTCAATTGAACATATTTTCAAACCCAGTGACGATCGAGCGGTTCTTCAAGAACAGCTTTTTAATAAATACAATTACATTGTGATATTTCTTAAGCGTACTGTAGATTTAGTAGGCAACGGTATGACTACCTACCTACCTACCTTACCTATCTATCTATGGCTACGCTGACAATTTTTTTCGGCTTCGCCTCCGACTGGCCAGAGATTGAAGGAAAAAAAGGAGATAGATACATAGAGAGAGAGAGAGAGAGAGAGAGAGAGAGAGAGAGAGTGTATGTGTGTAGGAGAGTGAATAAGAGGGAAAAGGGCTTCGGTTATAAGAGATATTTTCTTAAAGCATATACCTGGCTTCACTCTACGTGACTACCTTCGGAAGGATAATTTTCTTTCCTTTTTTCTTCACCATTCTCGTCCTACTATCCAACTGTGATTTCACGCCGGTTTTAAGAAACCTTTTTACTTGCTCATAATTGTATACGCGTAGAAGTATAGAGACGTATCTCGAGGAAATCGCTTGGTAGTCTTTTCTCCTTAAATCGTTCACGAATTCGCGTATGCTCTTACGCTTCGGCTCTGCCCATTTTGATGAAAGGGATCGGCATATTTTTTCGCCTGTATCCTCGGATCCTGCTTTACACACAATTGGGTCGGTCGGTAAATGAAAAAATATTGAATAATGGCGTAGATTTAAGTATTACGTTTGACTCTTCGGAAATTGCTTGCACGCCGAGAAAAACCATCTTTATTTGCGCTATTTATTTTATCTCAATTAATCGTATTTTTATTTATTAATCCAGTTCAAGGAACTCCTCGGTTTTTTATTAATTAAAAAACTATTTGCAAACTGATGAATTTGTTTATAAATATTTTCATTTTTAGTGCCATGCGTCATAATGCTTCAGACGAAATCACATGTATTATATTGTATATTTACGAGAAGAAAACTCCTCTACAACATTTCCATTTCTTTTATTCTTAATTAATAACGCTTACTCCTTGTAACAAAATCACTCATCCGATTCTTGGAAGCTCATCAGCATATTTACCTGACCGCTGATTAGTTAAAGTCTTTTCAGATTTTCCGAAATTTAAATAAAGATATAAAGATTGTTATCTACTAGCGATGATACGATCTATTGTAGTTCGTGTCATTCCCATTGTGAGTAGCTCGATGTGTGCTTGTTATTCCGCGCTGATGATCCCGCATAATGTTCAAGTCTCTTTTGTGGAGTCTGTTGTAAGTAGGTGTATCGTTACTACTGTATGTAACTATAGCGTTTCCTCTTAATTTAATGGAGTATCGAGGCGTTTTGCTCTTATCGGCCTTTCTTGTAACTCAACAATATCGCACCGGGGATTGCTGATGTCGCGCGTTGATGCTAACGGTCTCTATTTCTCATTATTTTTCTCTCTCCGATACTTATTCCGATTTAGTCTCTAATTGTGAAAAAATCAGCGTTTCGCGCATTTTCTGTATTTGTAAGCGAAGATGTAGATGACCGATCTCTTACAATCTTTTCATACGCTTTAAGCTTTACATTTTTATTTGCCATACGAGCATATAAGTGAAAATTAGATATTTTACGAATACATCGAGTGACAAATGATATACTAAATTAGAGCCACGCGAATAACTGAAAAAAGCGAATTTACAGTTTTTTGTTTTTTTTGTATTTTGTTTTTATTCTCATGTACACAATACAATCAATTTTCTACATAAATTGTTTGTACGTGTAATGTAAAAGCTTTCAAGATTACAACGTATAAAACGTCTATATCAATGTACGCTATTATTGAGATAAGAAGCAATTATTTAAAATGTGTTATCATATCTCCTTATTCTAATTTATTATAATAAAATGATCCGTTCTCTTTTACATTATATAGGGTTAAATTCTTTGTGAATGTATATTATATTTCTTAGTCGAGATTAACAAATAACATGGCTAAAAATATTGATTGGACGAAAAGTCATAATTTACTGTAAATACAATTAAAAATTGAAGTTAATATATGTCAGTTATAATTAGTTTCGATTAAATATAAGTTATTATATAATTAAATTTAATAATTAGCATGAAATAGATGTAAAACTTCTCAATTTATTTAAGTACTTGTTTAAATTGTTGATTTATAAAATATATTTAATTCGTGGAAATCGTTGAAAATACACTGATTCTAAAGATACATTTTGAAGGAAACACCAGACTTTATTTTAGCGACACCATTAGCATAGTTCAGTATACCTCCACCGACGGAGCAGAATGAATTTCGCATTTATTTTAGAAAAATTCATTACTATCCTGTGTGAAATTTTGGTTTATTTTGAAAATTGGGTAGGGGAGGGGACTAATTGACGAAATGGGGATAGTTAAGTGTGCATTGAAAGACAACGGCAATCTAGAGAATTAAAATCACGAATGACTCCACTGTGCTTCAATATACTAAATATATATATATATATTAGCAAGCTATTACATGAAAAGAGGCATTATCTGAAACCGGAAAAGTAGCTTACTAAAAACAATGTCACGACTTGCGGCTACTCTTATACATCTCGTTCATCTTGGAGAGAAAATGCAAAACACCGATAAAATAAAAAAAAATTGCTTCGCAAGCGAGACGTTAATATTTTTCATCGCTTTGCGTCCCCGCGCATCGATTCCGTCACTTGTAATCGCGACGGCTCGTGCCCTTATCAAAGCAGCAAATCAATATTGATAAAATGCATGTATTATAGTTGTGGTGCTCATTTGCATTTGCATTCGTAAGTGCGCATAGAGTCCGTTGCGCAGGTGCACGGGTGAAATTTTTTTCGTTGCCGTGGCTTTTATAAAGAAAAAAGCGCCGCCGACGCAACGCGTCCGAGCTCGCGCTCTCCTTATCAGCTCCAGAGTTTACGATATAATATGTATATGTGCGCTGCGTACGCGGCGATATTTGTATGTGTGTGCGTGTGTGCGTGTGTGTGTATGTGTGCGCGCGCGCGCGTGCCCGCAATATGCTCTCCTTTTGAAAGGCGAGACAAGCGACGACGACGCACCGCCGCAGCAATGCCTGGAATAAGCGATGAGTCTTGCCAGCCGTGAACACAAGGTGGTCCCGATGCCGACACGAGATCGTCCCCAGCTACCGTCTTACTCTCGGGACTCTCTGATATGTTAATTATGAAAGCCACGAGTAGTAAGACCGACGAACAAAACGAGCTGAATGTTGGTTATTTAAATGGTAGTATGTACGGCGGTGTATAAGCAGTTGCGCGCTTTATGGCGGATTCATAATGAAAGTGTAAATGTTTTTTTAATGATGAGTAGCTCAGCAAGAGTGGTCCTCTATGTTTATAAATTATTTATGACAAATATGATACGTATAAGCGTAAGAATCAATTAATATTTTAATTGTGATTTTGAAATACAAAGCTTCATGTATACCTATGTGCATTTGTGCGCGGACGTGTACGTACACATACACTTATACTTATATTTATATTTATAAATGTAGCATGAGGTCTCTCTTATTTTGCGATTTCCAAATCTGATTTTGCTACGTAATTCAATGTAATAGTCCGTTAAATGTTTACGGATACATTTGGATTAAAAGCTCTTAATCAGAATTATGTATCGATCGCATACTGAGAATAAAAAAAATCACAAGAGGGAAAAATATCTATTCGAAAGAGTAATGTTGATTAATTTTATGATTCGAAGATTATCGATTACCGTTTTTTTATGGTATATCTATAATGATAATTAGCATTGCGCAACTTAAAGCAAGCGCATCTCGTACATCGGATTTATGAATATGTTATGCGAGAAAGGTTGCGGCTGCTGTTTGAAAGTTTTATGATACTAAAGAAATTCCTCTTTACTGGATTCGAAGGGTAGATTTATAGCATAGATTCCCAAACATCACTTGAGTTATAAAAGACAAAGTAAATGGAGAAACGAAAATAGAAATAAATAGAGTAAAAGAGAAGGGACATAATACACGCATATACAGACGCACTGATATATATATATATATATATATATATATATATATATATATATATATATATATATATAGAGAGAGAGAGAGAGAGAGAGAGAGAGAGTACGGGGGGATAAGAGAACGGGAGGTATGGGGCTTCCTGGAGCATTTTGAAAAGAACCGAATGCCAGTGTCTACGAATAAACGTAGGATTTTCCCTTCTTATTTTATTTCCATTTCAATTGTTTTCTGTATAAATACATTACCATACACTAGGCTCCCGTTTAAATAAATATACGCTAGCGGGAGAGCTTCGGCAGCGCTGGCAAAGAAGTTGCAGCTTATTTCTCATGCAGATCCCATTTGTCTTCACGAAATAACAAATCCATTATTTGATCGGGCTTCTAAAAAAACTCACCATCCGATTTTCAATCAATCTAGAGAGAATCGCGTCAGCGGGTCATCTCTCTCATTCTCTTTTTTTCTTACGCACGCGCATCATTGTGCATGTGTGTGTTTGCTCACGCGTGCGTGCGTGCGCGCGTGAATGTACAATTTTCGTGCAGGCGAACAGGTCAGCAATGATAACACGAGCGAACTTGCACATTAATGCAGCCAATAAAAGAGCCTCGATCGATTTCCTTTTCTTTTTCTTTCTAACGTGCGTCTATACATATGCGCGGAACGGCTAGTATTTTCGATGCTCGTCGCACACGAAATGATGCAATATAAACACCTGATTGCGCGACGGAACCCGACTCGATCTAGAGACGGTGCGCGCGCACAATACCTCTTTAAGGAAGCAAATAGGAGGGAAACGAAAAAGTATGCGGGATCGCTGTGAGCGATATGGTGACGACGGCGACAGTGGTAGCGACGGTGGCGGTCGCGGCGACGGCGGTGGCAGTCGGCTAGACAAAAGGTGCTGCTGCCACTTCTCGTGCAGCCCAATGTATACGCATACGACGGCGATATTGCGCGCGCCGTGATACTTATGCAAAGCTTGAGCAACACTTGTTTTTGTTAGATATATACAGCAGGCGCTCGCCTATCACCGCGATTTTCATTTGGCTATATTTATAGAGAAGCCGGGGGCTATCGCGCCTCGCTCGCTCCTCTATTCACGCCGCGGGGTTTAATCAAGCCGCGGATTCCCGGCAGATGAGCCTCGAAGGCTCATCTTCTCCTCCGCGACCTCGAGCAGCCCGCTAATTCTACTTCGAAAGCGTACTCGATGCCATCGCGAAAAATAGCTCCAGGCCAGTCGTAGCGCTGGTTCCCGGACTTCTTTCTCGTTAAGGCGTCGTGCTCGGCAACAAGCCATTTCCGCCCGAGCGGTTTATACAGCCAAGGCGCCTTGGGATTCAATACGAACGCGGCGCTCGCGCTTTCCCGCCCTAATATCCCGCAATTTCCTCCTTTCCCTTCGAGGCGCGCGCGTCCTGATTTTTTTTTCTTAAAAGAGCCGTGGCGCCCATAACAACAGTAAACACTTCTCACAGATTATCTCGTATTATAAGATATAAGCGTGGACGTGCGCGCGCGCGCACCCTGCGCATAGATCGTGGGCCGATAAGAATCACGACGAACGTGGTCGTGAAATGAAAAACAAAATGCCTTCATCACTCGAGTGCTGCGTATTAATCGCCGATTCTCTTTGCCATGTTACAGACACACATGCTGCTGATGGATGCATTCTTACAAAACAACAGGCTGGACCATGTATCCCGGGTAATGTCCTCGCATCCGACTTACCTAGAGCACTTTTTACGCACCCAGAATTTCATATTGCGGGCCGACGGTCCGCTTCCGTATGATTATCGACATCTTATCGCCATCATGGTGAATTACTGCACTTTTATCTCACTATTTAAATGAATAACAAATGAGGTCAATATATTCTTTAATGTATTCATTAGGTCGTGTCGGTTGAAAGTTAGCACAGCTTAATATTCTATTAAAGGCATTATTTATTCAATCGCGCTCTATGTCGCAAGCTTTTATAACGCCTTAAACAAAATAATTGTTTCTAAAATTATAATTAATTCTTTTCTCGCGTCTGAAGCGTTGACAAGAAGAAAAAAGTTGAGAAAATTATTGTCATTGACCTGACTAAATTTCTCGTTACTTCAAATTTATTTCAATTGGATAATCTTTATTTGAAATAAGTCTTTATAAAGCTCTCAATCAGCTGCGTTTATGTAACTCAAGCAAATAATATATGAAAATGTTGAAAATCGAGCTAACTTATTATTTAATATATTGCTAATGAAAGCGGACAGAGAGCGGCGAAAGCCTCGGATTAAACAATTTCGCGAACTGTCGTTATTAAGCTATTACATGACAAAAGTCATATATGCTTATTACTTTGTTGTTAATAATCAATGAAGCGTGGAGTGCATCTAACAATGTAATCGTAATCTGTAAATAAGCCAATGTGCTTTAGGTATTTTGAGTACCTTAATAACGTGGTTCTCGCGTCTTAGCGTAAAATATGCAGTTTTCTCGACAGTATTCTATCACTCTTCTCGTACGTGCACGCATGTTCTTAGGTCAGAGTTTATCGCGACAAGACGTAATTATTAAAGTTCGCAAGGATCGATGCGATGTACGCAGCTTCCACTTATCCACTTGTCGAGTCCATTAGACGCGACGATTTTCTTAATTTCTGTTCTTTGATTCTCGTTCTCTAGTGACTTGGTGAACTTGGTGTGATCTTAAAGCTCGTTAGTTAGTATTTTAAATTACGAGTTATTAGTCGAAGAAGTCAATTTTTCAAATATTTTTTTTCATAACCTGTATTATCTTAATTCGGTGAAGAACGACCGTATAAAGTTGCGAGATTGTATATTTTTCGTTTAGAAAAATAGTATCGGATTTAAATTTGATACTTACTGTATTATTGAATTATTACATCATTAAATATCTGGTGCAGTCTATAAAACACTTCTTAATTTGTGTATCCTGAATTTTTCATAATATCTAAAGACTTATCGCTTTCTCAAAACTTATTAATAAGCCTCGGAATTATATATATATACATACTTTTACTGGAATGATATCCTTACTACAATCGTGGATGGTTAGGATTGTTAGAAATAATTCTGTATAATACAATAAAGAAAATCTATCTTTTTTTTTTGTTTTTTTTTTGTTTTTTGTTTTGCAAAAGTCACTGACAGTTAATATTTACGACTGCGTAAAAAAGGTAGCAATCGACCGATAACCACTACCCTTTGAATCACTATTTAAAAATGAAAAATCGATTATTTCTCTTTCTCTTGTCGCGGCAATGGATAAAGTTTGACGGAGTAAATTGCTTTTTCCATGGCAGCCAAGTTTCGGCCTCTGGTGTATACAACAGCACATCGTGATATCTACTTTCTCTTTTTTTTTTTCGTTGTAGTAGAAAAACTTATTACTCGCAGATTAGGCTTTTGATATATTCGTCAGACGTATCGGATGTTATATTTATTATATTCCTTTTTTTTCGATGTTTACAATACTGTAGTTTGAATGCAAAATTTGGCTTTTTAAAAGCATAATTTACTGCTGAATGCAAGAATAAAAAGATAGAATGATTTTTCTATTCGATTTTTCTACACCGAATGTGATCTGAAAGTAAAGTATAACAAATTAAAAGTATGGATATTATTACTTCTAAATGTTTTTAAATAATAAGTTTGCATTAAGTGTTTTTACGTATAATTAATTATACTATACTATTCTATAGTTATGGATAATTTAACATTTTATTGAATTAAAGAGAGCCAAGTTAAAAAGAGAATGAGTCATTTCGAAGATCAAACATAAAATCTATTTATTCTTTTGCAGACAGTACTTTTACCATTCTAATTTGTTACAATTTACATGGTTAATAAATAATAATCGCTTGACAAATGATAATTAAAAGTAATGTTTTAAGTGTAATTTAAAGAATTAACTAGAAATCGTGAGGCAAAGTTATTTGTAAGCTTTTATTTGCTCAGTTGCGAACGCAACTATACGTAAGTCATATGATTAATTTAAAAAGCTCAGAAATTCAACAAAATAAGCCAGAATATTCTTTATACTTAGATTCTTTGTAATTATGTTTGGCTTCAAAACTTATTGCTTTTGTTTCACTTAGTTTCCCTACTGATAATACAATTTTTTTTACAATTGTCAAAATTTTAATTTAATAATAATTCTTTTATTCTATCGCTAAAATAGACATCACGTGCATTTCGCATTGATTAAAATTATAAAATACGTTATCAGCACTGTATAAGTAGTTTGATGCTCTAAAAAGATTTGCTGTCAGTAATATAATTTTTACCAAATTATGAAAAAATTTGTAGGCGGTATTATCGTTATCAAATAATTTTATGTCTGTATTATCTTTCACAAGTTTTAGTACTCGATGAAAAAACAGTAAATATAATTTTCAGAAATTCACCTCCTTAACAGTGTATCATTCAAAAAACAATTAAATTACAAATTGAAATCAATTAAGAAAAGTAATTTGTGACGAGTGAAGCAGAATTTTCATTTGATATTTCTTTTGCGTGTATCATAAAGCAAAAAAGAAAAGGCTTAATAAAATATGTCACGAGGCCTTCGCATATCGATTGAAAATACATTTAATCGGACGAAAAATTTGTGCGGACGTGTACGCACGCCCGAACCATGTGATAAACGATAAGATAATGTACCTGAAAAACAAGCTCTCATGTGCGGTAAATACCGCTCGGATCATGCGAGAAAAAAGTCTGGCACAGCGAGTTAATTCTCTTTCTCGTGCGCGAGAAGAAGTCGCGATGCTCGAGATAACTTTTTATTGTTTAAGCACCGAAAATAGAGGGTCGACAACTTTTACAATTGAAACAATTATATTTCTTCTCCTGGTACAAGCACTTACCATGATATTTACCGAAGACAACGTAAAAATTGATTATGCGAAAAGTAGGTGAAGGTATAAAAAAAAAAAAAAAAATAAATAAAAAATCCATTTATCTATATGAAGAATAATATTATGGAGTAATACGAGCTCTATCTTACCATTTACGAAATGTAAGAAATTTATGCGACACTTTTAACCAATGCCACAGCAGTATTTTCTACACTTATGGGTCATTTACGGATTAGCATCGCCATTTGGAAAGTACGATAATTAGGCTTCGACATTACTTTATTAAATAATGTCGTCTCATAATATCGAAAAGTCCTAATTACCAAAAAGTTATAGGTATCTGTATTTGTAACTTGAGCATATCGCCCGCGTAATAACAGGCCATGTTTAACAAAAGAAATGCTGATACCATTGAGCACTCGGCTACGAGCAATTTTCTATTTTCATTTTTTGATAATCCTCATAAAGTGGAAAGTATTATTGGGTCCCCTTATTGTTTTTTGTTCTTATACACAATCGATTCGCCGGGCTTTATTATTTTTTTTTTTACCATAAACATATGCATCTGTGTTACTTTTGTGCATCTAATAAATAAATAAATAGGAAAATAAATAAATAAAAAAAAATATATATATATATGCGTATGTGCGTGTGTGCTGTGCTGTGCGTGAGTGAGCGCGTGCTTGTGCACGAATGTATGTATGTATGTGTAAATGTGAGTTGCGTGCTGCGTGCTGCAGGTAAGCTGTATAAATTGTGGGAAAATGGAATGATGATATTGGCGAATGCTCAAAGCTTTTACAGTTCTTTACTTAATTCGCAGTATACAATGGTATTTAAACTAGAAAAAATATTTATGATAATTTTTATTATTTCTATAGAGAGTTATCGGCATTATTATTTTAAGATAATTTAATAATCACATTAAAGTAATGTATTGGCAACTTTTGTATAATTTCATGGTTATTATCACAAATATTTGTTAAGCACCAATATTTGGTGATGGTACGAATATTAATGTTAAGAAGTCGCAGAGAATGACTATTTACAATTACAGGCCGCAGGTAGACATCAATGCAGTTACCTGATAAACTTGCAAAAGTCAGAGTTTCTCCATCAAGGAGGACACGAATCGTGGTTACAAGGTTTGAGATCTATACCAAGCAAACTACAGGATCTGTACGAAATCAACAAGATTCTGGCACACAGACCCTGGCTTTTAAACAAAACACACATTGAGGTGAGTGCTTTTTTAAAATGGATAATATTATTTTACGTGCGCATGATATCCAAGTTAACCAATTCGATAGCCTTGGAAAACATTTCTAGTCGATAAGTCAAGCGCTTTAAATTATCAGAAGTACCTGTTTTGAATTAGCAAGTTCTGAATTTATTCATTTTCTATCTCGCATCTCATGTAATTATATAAATAAATATATATATATATATATAGTTTATTGTATTTATATGTCTGTGTGGGCGTGTATGTGCGCGCGCGTATGTATACTTAATTTTTGTGAAATTGTTGGCCTATTAATGAAAATGATATTTAGCGTGTATTTCATTTTGATCTAAAACACGTTTTTCGACTTCTCGATTCAGCTATATAAATATAAAATTGTTAGTGAGATATTCAGGGCACTATGTATTAGTGATTTTATGTATGAACAAGCTCGCGCACGCGTATATAATAGAAATGTGAAAGCTTAGAAGTTGAAAAAAATGATAAGGAATTTTTCTATTTATTTTTGTAGAAACTGACAAAAGGAGCGGATAACTGGTCGTTAGCAGAGGTTGTACATGCGATAGTACTGTTGGCTCATTTTCACTCTCTCTCGTCCTTTGTCTTCTCTTGCGGTATCAACGAGGAGCTGGATAACGTAATGGGGCACAATTACAAGGAGAACATCCAAGCGAACAGCAATATCCCCAAGCCGACGACGGACAAGCTCTTGAGCAGCCCCAAACAGATTCCCAACGGCATCGGCAAAACTGGTATGCTCGAAGCTATATTGAAAAAAAAAATTAATACAAATAATGAGCCAATGCCATTTGATTTTAATACTACTATTCGCAATTGCAAGAGGATATTAGATTCGACGGGCGAAACGCCCTATATCTTACGGCATCTCTCCAGAGCTTCGCATTTAAGCTAATCCCGTTTTCGTCTTTGATTATCCTCAGATAAAATACCTTCGCCGCCTTCATCTCCGAGTATCGTGGGCGAGCAGGAGGTTGGAGTAGAGACGCTGATGGAGCGCATGAAGCGTCTCTCAGAGAAGTCGGAGTCGTATCAGATTACCCAGGAGGAGCTGTCGAAGCGGTTCGAGACAGTGGAGACGCAGTCCGCGGAACTGGCGGCAGCGCCCCAGCGTATCAGCTCGATCCTCGATTCCGACATCGGCCTCTTCATCGAAGATCCAGCTTTCATTTATCAGGACTTTGCCAAGGTAATTGATCAAGGCGCCTGACGAGCGTAGCGCGTTGAATATAGGCAGTAAGCGTCGATCGGGTATTAAAGTCTTATTTCGTTTGTCACGCTTGTAGCGCGGCCAGTTAAACGACATCCCGACGTTCCGTGTGCAGGACTATTCCTGGGACGATCACGGTTACTCACTGGTTAATAGGCTTTACAACGACGTTGGCAATCTACTCGACGATAAATTCAAGACTGCCTACAACCTCACGTATTACACCATGGGCACACACAGCAAAGTCGATACGTCGCGCTTCAGGCGGGCCATCTGGAATTACATTCAGTGTATGTTCGGTATTAGACACGATGATTATGACTACAACGAGGTTAATCAGCTACTCGAACGCAGCCTCAAGACTTTCATCAAAAGTGCTGTCTGCTATCCGGAGCGCGTCACGAAAAGGGATTACGACCGCGTGATGCGCGAGTTCAAGCACAGCGAGAAGGTATGCTTTTTATTTCTTCCCATTCCCTTATGAAAAGAAAGCTATTTAATTGATTACCTAAGTTATCAAGTGATTTATTACAGTCTCGTTAACATTCGTAGTTTCGTGCCGTGCACGCGCCAATACTTAAACCAATTTACATATTGTTAATTTTATAAATTCCATAACGATACTTGTAATCGAATTACTTGACTATTAATTGAGAGACGCAAATAATATAAAATAAAAGAAACTGAGATAAAATTAAATAAAAATTAATTTTGAGTAAATTAAAAAAAAAAAAATTGACATAATACATGATGAAAGATGAAACTTAACAGAATGATTTGTTTCCATTTAGGTTCACGTTAATCTAATGATCCTTGAAGCTCGTATGCAAGCCGAATTGTTGTACGCATTGCGCGCAGTGATGCGCTACATGACCTAACTATCCAAGAGTCAGTTAAGTGTGCAAGATTTTTTTCACGGGCCTGACACCCACTCATGGGAGTTATAAAGAGGCTAGTAAAACGCGAATATACACGAGTCTACTGTCTGGTTACAGAAGGAGGCATGATTATTAAATTTATCACATTGTTTGAGAGAAATGAATGTAGCGTAACAGATAAATTTCCTTGCAAGTGTAGCGCGTAAAAGACTTCGTGAAAGCTAAAATTCTATAAGCCTTTAAATTTTGTTTTGTATGAATGAATGATACAAAGTGCTTGCGTGATAATTAGAGAGGTAGAGAAGAGGGAATGACAGAACGTGCACTTGTGCGCGCGCGCGTGCGAGAGAAAGAGCGAGGGAGAGAGAGATAGAGAGATAGATAGATAGATAGATAGATAGATAGATAGATAGAGAGAGAGAGAGAGAGAGAGAGAGAGAGAGAGATAAAGAATGGGTGGGATACAAGGATTGTGAGGGGAGAAGGGAGAGAAAGTTCAAGATTATTACTATAGATCGTATTTTTAATTTTATTTTCTAACAATTTTCTAATTGATTGCACTTAGCGGAGAGTACAGAGATAAGGAAGTTTTCGTAAAAGTGATTTGTAAATAGCAATTCAATCAATTATCAGTTTTAATTTTCTTCTTCACGCAGAAGCATTATTGGACTTCTTATGATAAAGACGATTTCGCATTAAAAAGAAATTTTTATCATTTTTTTTTTACTTCTTACTAAATAATTATTAAAATAAAAATTATTATATATATTATTAAATAAAAATTATTTAATTATTATACGAATAATGGGTATTATACGAGTGCCCAATGATTAACCGTTATACTCGATGAAGTTTATGTTGCTTTTAAATACGATTACCGTGACTCTACGTTTTTACGAACCTCTTAAGCGGTCTATAGTAGCTGTTGTCTGTAATTTCGAATAATATAAAGCAAAGGCACCGTGTTTCAATATGGCAATAATTAAGCTCGAGTTAGGGTAATGTGGGCATCATGCTCAGCAATTGTTGCGTGTATAAATATCTATTTCATATATGGATAAGCCTCACTTGCAATAGCTTCCCTTGTCGTGTAGTCGTATAATGGACGTAGCAGCAACTATATAATACATCATACAAGTAATTGATATAAATGTAAAATAAATAACGGACAATTAACCATTTATTAATGGTAAAGATACACCAGTTAAGATATGTCTATCTACCGGATGAGCATTTGAAAAAACAAGTACATTATGCCTGCCGGTGTTTAAAACATCTTGGAAATGAACATGAACAAAATTCAGCTAAATGACACTTAAGGGACATTCGCGTGAATTTCCCCATTACATCATACATGGTTATAATCTCGTCAGGGAAGGTGCGACTCGTAACGAGGATGTTTCTCTATACGAGTTATATTTATTTGCGCAGCAAGCATATGATTCAACATCTTAACACCTTCATGTTTACTGTTGTCAGACATTATATAACATAGAGTGCTAAATGATAAATTGTAAAGGTATAATATAAATAGGTTAAATTCATATACATTGCTTTTGATGCGATAAGGAGTAATAATACTTAACGTTCATTTCTTCAAGTCGTTAACAAATACTCTTAATATTAGAGATTCAGATTTGTTAATATAAACTCGTCCTTGATATCTTGTGAATATTGTTAGGATCTGACATCAAGATCAAAATTTTGCTTACCGCAGCCATTCTCCTATTTTGAAAATCAACTGGAAGATACGAAATCTTCTTTCTATTCAACAGCGATATTATTACCCTTTTCACTAGAGCGTTGTTCGAAATTTCTCTTGATTCTCTTCGATGACTTTATCTATAGATGTGAGATGATTATCCAATACATTAATGTATGAATAATCGGAGTTTTAAGCAAAAAAATTTGAGAAAAAGATTAGCGTAATCAGCCGTAATATATTTATAACGATTAACAATTTATCTATAATGAGAACAAAAAAAAAAAAAAAACAAAAAAAAACGATATAGCGATAGCGTACTCTTCAATGTGGGATCAATTTACTGCGTGTAACATCAAATTGAACGCATACTGCAGTATCAATGGGGACAAAGATTTTAAAATAAGCTCTTCAAGTACAGTCTCAAGATCAATAATTTCAAATGAGGCTTGGATTTTAAAACCATCGACAATTTCAAACGGTTTAAGACAATCTGAAACAATTTCATATTAAAAGTATTTTTATCATTTATGTAGTTACATAAATATAAATGATTTTACATTAATCGCTGAACTTCTTTAGATTTTGAGATTTTAGAACTAATATCTTTGCTCTAAATGGTTACATGGTATGAATAAGTAATAATTCGGTATTAAAGTGGTGCTATTAGTTAGTTTAGCAACTTACTAATGTATAATATTACTAAAGGATATTACAGAAATAATAACAAAAAATAAATAGTTTCTTTTAAATTACAGAAAAGTCAATGAATGCTCTTGTGCTTAGAAAGTAAATGGTCGTAAACACATTAATATGAAATCAGTATATTATGGAACTAATTCATATTTATAATTATACTGTGAGACTTCAAAGTGATTTTCTACCTTATGACCTGTTGTTTTTATTTTCTACTTATGGTTGTCGAGATACTTTATCGACGATAGATTTACCTGTTTCCGGTTATTAGACCGTCTTCATAATGTGTAAAATTCATGCTGACTAATATTGTCATAATTATTATTGTAATTATAATATAGTCACAATAAGTAATAATCATTAGTGTTAATATATTAAATAAATAATATTATGGTTTGATAATTAGAATTTAAAATAAAAAAAACACTAACGTGAAAGCAAAAATAAGTAATTGGACAATATAAGACGTTCTAAGTGAAAATTAGTATTTACTAAATTAATCTTCTTGCGTACAATTTTATTCTCTTTTTAACGGCTCTTCTTTGTTGTTTATGCCATTTAAAGACCTTATTTACTTGCTTTGTAATGACTAGGGAAGATCTTCGATCAGGATTTCAAACAAGAAAGGTCGATATTCTTAAAAATTAACTTTTGAATATTCTTTTTCTGTAATTTTCCATTTCTTTTCACATTGTTTCAATTTGATTTAATTCAATAAATCGTTGTTGGGTTCAATGATCGAAAGTAATTTCAGCATAAAGAATATTAAATTCCCCCATCAACTCCATAATTTGCAATTTTAACGTTTCTTTCTTCCTGCACATTATTTTTTGTCTCTTATATTTGACAATCAGTTTTCACTTACTTAATTTTTGAAAATTTTCATCTCTAAATCCTAATTTTTAATATTATCTATATTATATTTTAGAAAAATGAGGTGGTTGCAGGGTACCGAAGTTATAGATGACAGCAGTATATATTAAGGATTTAATCCATATTAGGATTATCTAAGGGAAGATTTCCGTAAGCGCATCTGAGATTATTTCTAATTTAAAATTTAAGGTCTGAATTTAATTTTAACATTCTAGAGTTAATAGAATATTATCTTGGATGATCTTAGCAGCATACTGATATATAATAATTTACATTAAGGTTGCTTATATTGCTTAACTTTATGTAAACCTTAGATGATATATCACTTTGGTGAATAGTTCGTTCAATATATTGGACAGCATACGATCCTTGGAGGCTTATTTACTGTTACATTTGAAAAAGCATAAAAATTTACAGATTAAATTCGTAAATAAGAATACATAAAATAATGAGTCAGGCATTAACGAACGCCGTACTCGGTAGTATTGCCGCTAGTATTCGGCATAATGGACAGAATCTACAATTAACTGGTCAGGCTCATTTTCAGGATGTGCCATATCAATATATTGATTTATTCATTTGTTTTCATAAAAGCAAGGGAAGAGGGGGGCGTCAAAGAATAAGTGCTTTGTTAAACCTTTAAATAATACATTGTTTGATTACTGAAGCCTAGAATTTTAATACAAGATATTTTCTTATGAATATTGACGATGATTTATAATTTCCCGTTAATAGAGTGAATCGATTATTCCACTGATTCCACTTATATTGTTTTAAGATTATCAAATCCCAGATCAAATTTCTTTACAGAATAAATACGTTTTGTACTCTGAAAATTTTAATGAGTATTAAAGAAATCTTTTATAAAGAAAGAATGCCGGATTATATTTCAGTTTTTTTTTTTTTTTTAATAGACGAATTATTTTGACTAACATATTAGCATTTTTAATCTCCTTCTCTTCTGTTTTAAAGGTGTAAATTTTTGTAAGATACACTAGTGTTGGGATTAATATTATCGATGACTCTTACAAAGTCAAACTCTATAGTTATCAACCACTCACCGTTATTATCAGCGCACATATATAAGTGATGTAGCGATAATGTTACATTGTAGTATGTCAAGACACTCTCGTTAACATGTTTTTCAATATTTGAATCGCGATTATAGCGATATGTTCTTTAAGAGCGGATATTAATATCTTCAATTTTGTACAACTGGCTCGACCTTAAAGACAGATCGGCCATTACCAGCAGGCACATTGACGAAAAAAAACTTTGTTCAAGAATGGTTTATTTTGTACGACCTCCATCGTCGTTAATTGGTTTCAGATGGATTAATCTGATAGAGCTTTCAGGATAAGCGTCGGTCTGCCTTTAGTTAGTTCGGAACGTATCCTACCAGCTCAAACTACATCTATAACTATACTGGCTGTATCTATCTGTATGCTATGAAGTAGAGTGGAATTTATTATTAATACATTATTAATAATGTTTGATTTCCAGGATTAACATATTTGAACCTAAATTAAGAAGGGCATTTAAAAAAAATATTAAATAATTTACCAATCTAATTTGGTATTAACATTTATACAATTTAATGAACTTTAGTAGTTTATTTAATCTATATGAGAATTCTATGAAAAGTTTTTCTTCTATTTTGATATTTACTTAATAAACCATAATAACATTTAATACTATCGTGATAAATATATAAAATTCAGTTAGATAAAAATATAAAAATTACGTGCTTAATATTTTTGAAATATCATCATTAGATTAATTATATTGTATTCTAACGTTTATTTTTATAAATTAATTGCGTCGGTAGAATATATATATATATATATATATATATATATATATAAATTCGTAATACATTAATTAAATTAAATTATAAATATATACATACATGAACGTGTATATATATATATATATATATATATATATACAAAACACATACATAAAAATGAATACAAATAATGAATAAACAGTTTGAATAAATGCAGAACATAAAACCAAAATATGTC